TAGCCACAGCCACTTCAGCACGAGCTCAATCCCTGGCTAGGGAGGTGACCTACATGTCCCACCCCTGCCCCCCTCAATAGTGTACTTCGTTAATCTGCCTGTTTTGCTCCCCCATTCTGTCTCTGGTGAATCCTCTCACCATCCCTGCACCTCTGGCCTGTACCCCAGTTCTGTGTGCATGAATAAATAAATCTTTATACATATATATGTTTCTTTACAATTGTATGATATTCTATAAAATATCACTGTGTCTATTTTTTATTCAAGTGTTTACCCATACAATACCTTAGTTGGGTGCACAGAGGTATACTTTAAAAGGAAATAATAAATTAATCAGTTTCCTTAGTGGATAAAAATGTTCCAAATACCAGTTGCTAGAAATGGGTGTGATACAGTATTGTGGTTTTTGAACTACTGAGAAAAGTAAAAGGAAAGAAGAACATCATCATTCTTGGGCTAAAATATTGTGACACAGGCAGTGGGTTGCCATGGTTTGTTATTTTAAACCAGCTTAAAATAGAAATCCTACTTCTGTGCTGCCAGTTTCCTCTTTTCCCAAAGAAATTGATTCTTCAATCTCATAAGCCTGGAGGCCATAAAGTGCTATCCAAATGTGCTTAGGTTTAGAGTCATTATCACCAGTCTCTTCCAAGTGCTTTCCAATTCCACTAACAGCACAAATTTGCTTATTTCATTTTTTCAGTGTTGTTCCCCAGTGTGGGCAATATGGATTCCCTCAGGCTTGCAAGTTCTCTCATTTCATTCAAAATATTTTATTATTCCAATTATTTCCTCAAAATGTAAGGCTTTTCTTTGTATTCACTACTTGGGATTCATATGCCCAGAATATTTATACAGGTTTAATATAATACATTCAACACACTTGTCATGAAATAAGCACAAGTTCAAAAGTACAGTGTACACCTCCTTAAGACAGCACGTGTGAGTGCACTGGAATAAATGTAATAAAACAAGGTGGATGTGTGTTAGGCATTTCACCATGGGTCACTATGGTAAACTGGTTACTATTCATGTAGTGTTATTCATATTTCCCAGCAGAGTTGAAGCATAGTCATTCCTTGAAAAATCATGACTTTTCATTTTGCAATTTTAACACTTTTTATATACTACATATGATCAACTTCTTATTTTGAAGAAGTTTGTTGTAACAAAAGAGACTGAAAAAGGTACCATGCATACACATATATACACACACAATATATATATATAGGTATATATGAACACACAATATATACATAGATATGCACATATATATGCTATCCCAAAACCACCCCCTCTCATACATCTATAGTGCTTGTACGTTAGGGTTGATAGGAGGTTTAATTAGAGAACACATACAAAAAATACTTTGAACGGTACCTGCTAGTTTAGACACTTAATAAAAATTATTATCGTCATATGAGGTTTAGGTGTTGGTTTTCTCAAAACTATTTTACATTGTGGATATAAGAAGCCTCTCTCCTTTATTTTGCCTCTCTCCTTTCAACATCAATTCATTTATGTTCTTTATGGTAATTCTACCTAGAACTTCAATTTCCTGACACTCCCTGTATGAGAAATGAGCTCTACCTTGAAGAGTTATTGTTTGGTCACAGGATGACTATATTCCTCCAAGTATTTCAGGCACCATGTAAATAACAAGTACTTACTTTGTGTGGTACTTTATAGTTTACAAATATACTTACATTTCCTTGTTCAGTATAACATTGTGAGTTAAGTAAAGCCGGTATTAAGATCCTCCCCTATCTTACAGGTAGTGTATTAGTTTTCTAGGACTGTTGTAACAAAGTAACATACATTGGGAGACTGAAACAACAGAATTTTATTTTCACACAGTTCTGGAAACTACAAGTCTAATGTCAAGGTTTCAGCATGCCGGTTGTCTCTCTTCTGGTCTTCTCAACATATCCTTTAGCTCTGTCTTCACAAGAGCTTTCCTTTTTACCTGTATGAGTCCAAATCTCCTCCTTGAATATGGAGAGCAGGACCAGAATGTACCACCTTTATTACTGTTATAAGGTGAAAACCATTTAGAAACAGTGTGCAGAGGAAGAACTCACTGTTTTTCCCCTTTCTGCATTAAAGCAGGACATAAATTCCTATGAGAGATGTAGTAATTCATTATCAGGAAGTGGAAAGTAGTCATCACTAAAGAGATGAGGGTTCATGCTGGGGTGAGTCTGTTAAACAAACCTTGAGTAAACAATATTTCTCTTCCATTGGAAGCTATCTCATTCCCTCATAGAGTTCTTACTTCACAATTTTATAATATTGGTTAAAATGGTTTGTAAATTCCCAAATTAATCTTCTTTTTGTCTTTTTCATTTCTCTTCAGTTAAGTTCCTGTATGCATAAATTTTAAAATATTAATAAAATGTGCCTTTTCTCTTTGTCATTTATTTAATTCATAAGCCCAGCTATGGAACATGAGATTAGAAGAAAAGGCTTCCTCCTCCACATTGTCCTATTAAGGACTGACACCAGGTGTCAGCAGATCCTAAACTGGCCAAAGCCCCACTGCCCAAATACTTTACCAAATACTTTCTGGATTCTTCACTCACATACCCAATTGCAAGACTGCTCAGATTCAGGAAACAACAATGAAGGGACTTATTTAACAAACAGGAAAGACAAGAGTTACTGAGATCAACAATGGCCATTTACTTTACTCAAAGTCATGTCCACTACTGTCCTGCACAAAGACCATTACAATGGTGTATTCCCACCAGTGGGGACATGCAGCTCCTTTCCCAAACAACAGGCCATGTGTCTAAGATGGCATATTCTTGCCTATGGTGACCTGGGGCACATGGCAGCCAGACTCCAGGCCAGGTTCTGTTACAGGGAAACCCAATGTGAACTGGGTTGCCTGTCTGTGGGTCCTCACCTGCGTGCTTAAAATTCGGTTTTACTGTAGGCACACACAAAAAGGGTCAATAATGGATTTATTTACAAAAGGGGAAAGGAAAAGGAACAACCCAGGGAAAGAGAGAAAGAAAGAGTGAGATACAAGTTAACTAGAGCATCCTACCAGTTCTGCTGACTTGGAACTCCAATAGCACACTGAAAGCTCATCAAGAGCCAAACGACCAGCCACCAGCATGAGGTCAAGGGAGAGAGAAAGAAAGAAAGAGCTCAACATGGCTCCCTCATATACCCCCAAAAGTCCCAAAATGGCTGCTTAGCTCCACCCTTGGGTCTTCACAGTCCTCCCCTTGGTATTGCTGGGAGTTGTAGTTTCAGTGACTGGAGTAGGGGGTGGAATTATAGTTGCAATAACTGGAGAAGGGGGTGGAGTCCATAAAACTCTGTAGAGTTCCTTCAGGACATCTTTTCCCCCTAACAGTACAACTCATGAAGACAGCAGAAGACATGACAGGAGATGCTCCCAGAGCTTCAGCACAGCACCAGACAAGGGATACTCAGGACAGCAACCACAGTGATCAAACAACCCAATAACAGGCCTCATTCACCCAGCTAGGCCAGGGTGTATCTTCAGTAAAACCAGGAACTGTTTCAGTCAGTTGGCTACTTGCAAAGCCTCTTCCTCTCCAGGGTTGTGTACTTAAGGCCTCCACCTTCAGAACTCCATCGTGGCCTTCTCCAAAATGGTGCAGTCAGGAGCTGAAATCCACTGACCCCCAAAATGCTTAAGGAACTTGACACAAGCTATGAAACTTCTGTCAACTGACAAATTCTGGATGGAAGGGAAAAGCTCTGAAAAATCAGAATTTCCATTGCTAACTTATGTTACAACCTCCCTTTTTTGTATAATCATAATATCAAAAATATTCTAAGCAACCATCAGTTTGCAACTGGATTACCTTAGCTTCATAAATTGGCTACCTGGCTGGGGCAAAGTACTAGCTCTTTGTCTGGAGACAAAAGGCAAGCTCCTGGAGAGATAAGACCACCCCCACCCCAAACCCACCCCCAGCATCAAGACTTATGGGAAGCTTCCTTTGG